CCCCAAAACCCCAAAACCCCAAAACCCCAAAACCCCAAAACCCCTAGACACGCTATAAATATTGTAAAATGAAAATTTTAACAGGTGATGATAATGGCTTGCTCAAATGTACGCAGCTACAAGTCAAAGAAGAGCCTAAACTTGCTTTTAAATATGGCCTACAAAAAGAAAATCATGAGATTGATGACATAAAGTGGTCCATCTCTGAAGAAGAGTAATCTTTCATTATAAACTCTATAGAACAAGGTACTGTACTTTCATTCACTCTCTTGGAGTTGTCAAGACATATGACACTCATACTGAGAAAACTTTGTTTAAGAAGGAACTCGAGTTAGATGCAGAATCTAGGATAAAGTCCATCTTCCCTGTTGGAGATGACATCATGGAACAAAAATTAATATTTGCTGAATCTACAGGCAAATTATCTTGCATTGATCTTGACGTAGAAGATATTGAGGATCAAAAGCAAGCTGAAATACTTACAGTGAAGAAATCAAATGACAAGAAGAAGCTCTGCGCAATGCTACACCGTATGAAGTCCCAATATCTCTGCTTAGGTCAATTCTTGCCTCAAATATTCGATATTGAGACCAAGAAATGAACCTGGAGAGGGAAGAATGTTCCTAATGATCAAGATGACCTTGAAGTTCCAATGTTCGACACTAGTGGAAGCTTCCTTCCTGGATCAAACAGAACCTTCGTCATCAGTAACGGACATGGCAAAATTAGGCTTTATGATGTGTGAGCACAAGTAAGACCAGTCGTAGACGTTGAGCCATGAAACTATTATCTCTCTAATATAAAGTCAACTGACTGTGGGAATTATGTCCTCTACTCTTCTCAAAAAGGAGAACTTACAAAAGCAGATATCAGAATGGACTTTAGAACAGTCCACAGATTTAAGGGATCTAAAGGATCAATCAGAGGTCTAGCAGTCGCATCTGACTTCGTTGCATGTGTTGGCCTTGATAGATACCTCAGAGTCTATGACCACGAAACGAGGGAGGCAATGGCCAATGTCTATCTTAAGCAGAAGCTTAACTCTGTTCTTATAGATGTCCTTTCAGCCAAGCAGTACAATCTTGCCATCCATGAGAAGCGTCAGGAGGTAGAGATTGAAGAAGAGCAGGCTCACCAATACTACTGTGAACATTATGACAGGAAGCCAACCAAAAGAAAGAGAAGAGCTGAGCAACCCTCAGATGAGAAATCAAAAATGGTTAAGATTAAAGATTAGTTCAGCGATTGGCTTGTTCCTAGGGGTTTTGGGGTTTTGGGGTTTTGGGGTTTTGGGG